TGCACCCTAGAGAAAAAAGCCGCTCCAAAAAAAAAAAAAAAAGATGACCAGAGTAAGACTGTCCCTTGGCCTGATCACGTGTTTTCTGAGAGGTACTCTCCGGCACCCCTCACCCTCCCAGCAATGATCTGGGTGTACCCCCAAGTGATGAGAGCCCTTCCTCCCTGGCACACGAGACAAGTGAAAGGCAGGCTCCTGGAATACCACCTGGGGCCCGCTGGGAGCCGGGTGCTGGCTGGGGGGGCCATGGTAAACCTGCCAACCCCTGCCCTTCTGGGGCCCAGGCCACACAGGCGACTCTGAGGCCCCTTCACAGCATAGCTCTGTCCTTCAGGGGGCCGGGCCCAGTGGGCAGGACAGAGCAGCTATCCCAAGTGTGGCCTGGGGCAGGGAGCTGGGCCCAGCAGACCCCCAGAAGTCAGAGTTGGGCCCGGCAGACCCCCAGAAGTCAGAGGGCAGTGCTTTGGAAGGGCTTTGAGATGCCACTGGTGCTCAGCATGGCAGAGGATGGAGAGTTGTCACCGTCATACCAGGGGACCCAGGACTTCAGCTCTGATACCCAATCATCAGGCCTGGCCCCAGAGGCCTTTGGGAGCACTCTGGACCTATAGGCCCCCACCCCTCCGCCCACTCTGGGGATGAGCCCAGAGCATGGCAGACAGCCACTTACATCAAGGGGCCAGCTCTCAGGCCAGTGACCTTGGGTCAAGGTCGGTAACCTGTGTGTGTGTGTGTGTGTGTGTGTGTGTGTGTGTGTGTGTGAGGGCGGATCACACCACACGGGGCCCAGATGAAGGGCAGAGGTGAACAGAGTCAGTCTGAGATCAAAGCAGTTGGACCAGAGCTACCCAGACCATGACACTGCCCCTGCTGCAATCTGGGTGGTCTCCCTGGCGGGAGGCAGACAGCGGCTGGGTGCGCAGGCAGACAGGGGCTGGGTCTGGAACGCAGCCAGGCCGTGCTGGTGGCTGGAGAGTAGAGGCAGGCAGGCACAAAAGCAGGGCCAGCAGAGCAAAGGATCCAGGGCGGTAGGGCCCTGGGCCACGGGCGTCAGGTCAGAAACCCGGCAAGGAGGGGCGCCCTGCTCAGGGATGAGCGCTCAACCCCCGCCAGGGTCGCGAACCCGAGCGCTGCGGCTGGGAGGGGTCCCCAGAGGCCACGAGAGTGCCGGCGTACGCGGACCCCAGTGATGCGTAGTCATTGCAAGTGTCACCGTATGGGCTCGGGCGGCGTGGGGTAGCCCGCCGTAAGCCTCTGGACCCCGCGCC